AGAGTGCAATAATTGACATTCATCGAGTCGCACTATCACATCGTAGAGTCAGTTTTTAGACCCTTTACATACATGTAAATACAATATGACTGAAAATAGATAAATTGCACTCACTGTCGTAACAAGTACTCATCACAATGTTTTGACCATTTACTGTCTTTTTTTGTAGATACTGGGCTTTTTATCAGAATTCCTAACACTTTGCGCTGTATTGTCAACTTTTGGCACCATCTAAACATTATTTTATGCAGTCTGCATTCCTCCAAATGAAATGTTGATAAAAAAAACCTTTGATCAAAAACTAAACAGAATATCTGAAACTGTTTGTATGCTCCGAAATAAAGATGAAATTCAGTAAAAATTTTACAAAATGTGAAAATATTTGCACTAAATCTTGGGTGGGGACAATTTCTCACACTCAAAGGGTTGCAACTGGTCGTAAGTAAACATTCAGCTTGTCGTGCACTATTATGACAGCAACAGTAGTAATCAGAAAGTTGGACAATAAGAAATATTTCTTGTTTTTGTTTCACAGAAATCACATTCTGTACTTGCTATGTGTCAGTTAGCTGCTGGTGATCATTCTAATCGTAACCATGGTAACAATGCCATTAAAACTGCACAAAAAATGGTCCATCGTAATCCAGGTGAGTACATCTATATACTGTAAAGCACTTCAATTTTGTGAGAAAGGAATTTTGTGAGCCCTAGAAAATCACAAAATTTTGTATCGGTGAACAGGTTTAGTTTTTGAATGCCAAAATCTTCCACCAAATAAACATAATATCTCACTGGCTGCAAGTCTTGGTTAAAATTTTGAGAAGATTAGGCTGGATTATTTTGACTTTCATATCATGCCAGTTTTAATGAAAATAAAAAAAAAACAATATCTAGCTCTCGTGAAAAATAGCATCATTTTCACTGTTTAGTGTTTGTTTCGAAAAACTTCACTGAGCATTATGTCATGTGATTAATTATTCATGAGAACGTTTAATTCAGACAAAAACAATTGAATAAACAAAAACTAAAATAGCGACAGACGTAATTTATATTGTTGTGGTGTTGAAATAATTTTTCAGGTTTTGTTCATGCAATAACCTTTCTTGAGATTCACAACAAATCACCAAAAATCTAAAAATGTGGTTATCGTCTACACATGTTGTCTTCATTTTATCTTTTTCATGCTCTGTACCTCGTTTCATGATTGTGTCAGTTCTATTTTCAGTAAGATTTTGTAATTGTGACAAATTTTATATTTTTGTATTAGTTTCTATGATGTATGTCATATAGAGGGATTTTGATGGATGTCAAAGCTGAAAATGAGAATCGTATCCCATGATGCATTGCACACATACTCAGTAAAATCCGAATCTCTGTCTGCAAAAGTTTCACAGTTTTTACAGAATTTCACACATTTTAGAATCGCATACTAACCATACAAATCGCATCGTAATTTTTTTCCACTTTTAACACCCCCTCAAACTCTACACATGTATAGAATATATTTGTTTAATTTTATCAGGTGATCTTCAACAATGGGCACAGCTAGCTGCTTGTTGCTATGCCGATGAGTGTAACCGCCAGGCTATGACAACGACATCCATTGCAGATGGTAGTTTGAGTTTCAACCTGTCTCAAAATGTTGTTCAGCAAGGTAGAGCATTTAAATCAAGCAATCTCATATTACTGTGATGTCATTGATGACGTCATACTTAAGGGTGACAGTTCTCAGGAACTTTTATATCTGAAATATTCAATTGCTCTTATTTTAATATGGAGATTATTGCCCCATAAACGGTAGTGGCAAGTTTTGTGGAATATCACCACTAGAGGGCGCTTCCACCAGACGAACAAGTTAGGGTTGCTATACAGTATAATTTACGGGTAACTGCAAAATTTTAAATTTTAAAATTCATGGATTAGACAAAATTGATAATTTGTCAACTTAGAGTTTGATCAAAGAATCACAATGATTGACATGAAATCAAAAACAGTACAAACAAATTATGAAACTAAATGACTTTGTGCTCTTTGAAATGTCTTCATTATTCTCTGCAAGATTTTAGTGAAAAATATTTTTCTATAATTCTGTATAGATTTTAGACCAAATCACTATATTTTCATATTGGCAACAGGTCTTGACCAACAATTTTGAAAAAAATATTAATGATTAGTCCAAAGGGTTGATTATTTACCAACTTTTTCAATGTTTTACCCACAGCTGAAAGAAACTCTGATGGGAGTGGGTTGAGGCTACTGCACTGGGCTGTTAAAATGTCAGCTGAAAGTCTGTTATTATCTGGAAATAACAAGAAAGCAAATGATTTTATTCAAAAGGTATTGTTTGCTATAGTCTTGGTCTTACACGTATGATACTAGTATTGATGAAAGCAAAACCTGTATGAATTGGAAATCTTTCAGAAGTGGAAGTATATGTGAATCCCAAAATATTTTTCCAATCCTGAAGTAATCTTTGCGAAGATAAGCCACCTGAAAACTCTAACAATGATACATATTGATTAATAACCATTCAAAGTGCGTGATAATAATGGTAAAAATACCATATTTGCTCTATTAAAAGTGCATAAAAATCGAAAATCATATTCGTTGTACACTGAATCATAAAAGTATTTCTTATTTTGATCATTGGAAGATTTAAATATAACACATTATCTAGGTATTAAGGGTAATGTAGTAATCAATGTAGTAGACACATCTTATTTCAGTGAATCAACTATTGCATACATAACTCCTAGCTATTTTATTGAATACCCTAACCGCACATACTGATTAAAAAACAATATCGTAGTTTCATTCTAAACTGTCATGTGACAATACTTGCATTTTTCTCGCATGCAGGCGATGTCTTTGTACAGCTCTTCCCCTCAGCTGATGTCACAATTAGAATTGTTATTTGCGAAGTCTCTTACAACGCAACATATGAGTGATGATGATTTAGATATTCTGAGGAATTCTGTTATAAAAGAGGCCAGCTCAGCGCAGGCCTGGCAGGTAAGTCATCGTACACTGGGTATACTGCTCACTTTACATACTTGGTGAAGCAATACTGGTCACATGACATTGGCTTTTCGCCATAGGGAGGGTAGTTTTATGACATCTTAGTCATGTGACTATATTCAGGTTTCAGAAAATATACTGATCAAATGATTTTACCCCTTTGTGTGTCAGATATTTTTTCCTCTCCCATAATTCATTGCAAATTTGGTAAGAGTTCTTTAGGGCCCTCAGTCATAACTCTAATCTTAACCACGCCCCTCCAGTGCTTCTTCCTCATTTCAATTGTATATACCCCTCTTCAGGTCTCTTATAGTTATTTGGAGGGGCATATTGAATTGAATTGGAGGCTGGATTATTAGGGTTAGAGGTCAGGTGGCCTTAACGAACTCTTTCAGCAAATGTTATCACAATTTTGAACCATATAGACAGTTACAGACAAGATTCATGGTCAGATATTGCTTTACGTTTTTGGTCAAAAGGTTTGTCAATTTTTTTCAACATTTCAGATGGGAAGAAGCAGAATATACATAATCATTTTGTAGATTGTTCTAAAAAGTTGACAATGACACGCAAAAGGTTTATAATACTGATTACAAGACAAGTTTATTTATTTCTATTTAGGAAGTGGGGGTTCTGGGCCAGTAAATAGGAAACATTTCTAGACACTCTGATCTGATATGTAACACCATCTTCGATTTTGGCAAAGTAAATGTTTCAGTGATTTTCACTGAAATGAATTCCATGAATGTTTCAGTGATGTCACATTACCGGTAATAAAGAATTATTTCTATACAGATATTAGCTGAAGTGTACACGTGTAAAGAAATGATGGTTGCTGCAGAGATGTGTTATCGCCAGAGTCTACAGATGTCGAGGTCAGCTAAAACAGTACCTCTTATTAGACTTGCAAACCTGGCCATGATGTTATCAAGGGTGAGTAGCTGTAGATGGATTACTTGCTAGTACTTGATAAACATTAGTAACTTGACAACACAGGTACATTGTGTTTCCTCTGTTTGTATTGAAGCGTCAAAGTCAATCATTTAACTTTTGTGCAAATAAAAATATAGGCTTTGTAAACATTGCATGGGACCCATATAGAATATGATGCCATGTGATTACTGCTTCTTCAATATTATCAATATTATATTGCTTTTAATGTATATGAAATGGCACTACCCTGGCCTGTGGTGTGTAACTCTGGTATCATAAATTATCTGCATGCTAACACAATGCTGGGACAATTCTCTTACAATACTACTTTCCTATACGGCGTTGTATTTTTTGTGAGAGAAAAATTTTTGAACATTTTTCTCTGGGCTTACACAGATTGTCAACTGTTGCATCATATCAAGTCGCTTCAAATGTTTTTATTAGTCCCCGTTTGGATGTTGGTGTGCGGACCTGTATCTTAGAAATGCCTGGACCAATCACAATCACAATCAAACTTCACACATACATCATACATGATATTATACATATGCACATCAATTTGTTTCACGATCTGATTTAAGATGGCCGAATGGCGGCCATTTTTGTGCTAAAAAATCCTGAAAATCAAGCATTTCTCAGCTGTTTACAGATGGATTTTGTTCAACCTTGGTATATACATTAGACATTATGGGACCTTGATGCAAATAATTTTGTTTTTCAGATAAGATTCAAAATGGCCGACTGGCAGCCATTTTGTATTAATGAATATGGTTCTCATGCCATATCTCTCTGACTTGCTTTCACTGATTATGTTCATTATACATCATGTCATATTGGTTTGACGATCCTATTCAAAATGGCCAAATGGTGGCCATTTTTCTGCTAAAAAATCACCAAGCATTTATGGATGGATTTCGTTCAAACTTGGTACATATATTAGACATTACAGGTTCCTGATGCACATCATTTATTTTTCAGATCGGATTCAAAATGGCTGTCTGGTGGCCATTTTGTTTTAATGAATGGGCTTCTAGACCTATATCTCTGACTTGTTTTGAGTGATTATATTCAAATTTTAAATATTCATTATACATCATGTCAGATAAACATATATTGGTTTGTGCTAAAAAATCATCAAATATCAAGCATTTCGTTCAAACTTGGTACATACATTAGACATTACGGGTTCCTGATGCACGTCATTTTATTTTTTCAGATTGGATTCTGACTGGCGGCCATTTTGTTTTAATGATTGGGCTTCTAGAGCCATATCTCTTAAATGCTTTGACTGATTATATTCAAATTTCATTTATTCAAAATGGCTGATTTTGAATGCTGTTTCAGAGCAATATCTCTCAATAAGTACTTGTTTGATGATCAGATACAAATATCAATCATTTTAATGTTAAAAAATCATGGTTATACATGTATTCCAGCTATATTACTATAAACAAAACTATATATCTTAAATTTGATAACTAACGGGAATTGTGCCATGCATGGCTTGTTAACTATTATGCTAGTTAAACTTGGTTACTTGGAGGATGTACTGCCCATTATTGCATGGATAACTGAACAGAAACGGGCAATGTGTACGATAATTATTAAATATATGTACCGGTGTTTCACAATTTTCAGCCTGGTGAGGCCAATACAGATACATGGTCTTCCCTTTGTCATGAGGCAACCAATGAAGTATTAAAGATACAGCCACAGTGTTCCACAGCTCTCTTACTGCAAGGGATTATGCAATATTACAAGAAGAACCACAGGTAAATAATGTCAGAGTAGAAATGCTTTTCTGTTCACTGTGAAGTCTTGCATAATGTATGAATGGTGTAGATCGAACATCTGCCACAAAAATGGAATCATTTGATCTAATTTTTTTAAAGTTCAAGGTCAAAATGCTGATCTTTCAGAGGGGAATATAGCATTGAGAAAGTACTTTTGCATTTGGCCTTTGTATGATTTCATGCATAACATGGGACCTTGCATGGGTCTATATGTTGATGATTTGGACGACATCCTCTATGCCTGCCAGGGTAATGCTACTATCATACAAATGATTGTCCTCAAAAACTTGTCGGCTTTTTTTTTTAATCCGCTATTACAGTGCAAGAGGAAAATATAATCAAATCTTTTAATAAAATGTTGCGACGTACACGAACCGACATGTGTAATGGTGAGCATTGTATTTGCAGGCATGTAAAGAAATGTCTGCATCGAGTGATAGATCTTGGAGCTGGTTATGCTGTATCTGTTGCCAGATTATATCTGATTCAACTGTATTTAGAAAAGAATGAAACACAGGCTGTTAAGGTATATAATCAGATGATGTCAAGAACCTTTTAGTCTCTTTCACAAAACAGAAACCTATATAAATTTGTTTTCATATTGTTTGAACAAGATTGGTCGCTTATAGTTACATTATGTTCATCTGGACCAGATATAACAAATTGTAGAAAAATACATATTGAATAATTAAGGCATTTAAAGCCTCTGTATTAGGAAGGTTATAACAGAAATCAATAAGAACACTCAATTCATTACTATGAATTTTTTGCTGCTAAATAAAGCATACATTTTGTATTTGTAGGACATACTGGAGGAAGTTGATGCATCAAACGATCCACTCAGGATATTATTGCAGAATTTGGTGGACAAGTTGACACAGTGAAAGGCAACATTTCATTAGACTGACCTCTATCATTACAAAATTGCGCAATTAAACTGATAAATAAATTTCTTTTCATTACTCTGCTCCAAAAATCACCTATGAAATAAGTTGTGTCATGGATTTTCACAATAAATGCACATTTTATTACTGATCATATAATGACAAAATGCTTGATATTATAAACCTATCCAAATTCCTTAATATTGGCACCAGAGGGAGTCCTAATGCAAAAGTGATCCCTAACTTTAATCATTTTCTGTAAAATTTGTCTGGAGTGGAGTAATATTCTGTAAAATGTCTCTTTCAGCTGATAATCTTAATAATTTAGCTGCATGTGTCAGCTGCAAGGCAGCGTCAGGATGGGCGGTTCCTGGAAGCAAAGTACACTCTCTTTCTAGCATAGATGCCACACCTTCCAGAAGTTCTAAAAAGCCAATAGACAAGGCTGCTTTTCTCAGTCTGTTCAATTCCTGTAAAGAAAAAAATTTATACTGTAATATTACTTTGCTTGCACCACCTCTAAATTTTTAAGACCCATTCAACATAGAAACATGAACACAATTATCATACAGAGTTAAACTATAGGTATATGTAAGGTTTGAAGAGAATTTATCAAGGAGTGTCTTGAGATGTATGTATACTCTGGACTCACAAGGACTACAATAAATTAACAAATGCTTCAAATGTTATCTGCATAACTTTGTATTACTAGTTACACGTTTTGATAAAAAAATCCAGCATGTTTTATTTATAACAAATATGTTCTCACTACTGTAAACTAATTTACTTTCACTTGCAGAAATGAATCAGTTAAAATAAAAATCCAGTTAAAATACCCATTTCCTAATTTTACATTCACATCAGAAAATCAATGAAAAATATAGCTGCGTTGAAGCAATGTGGGGTTTCGAGTCCACGTGACTTATTAGCAACGTTCCAAAATTAGCACCATTGACAAGAACTTATCAATGGAGTTGCACAGCCTTCATAGTAAATGTGTTACATGTTACTGTCTGTAAAAGTGCGCAAGATATTACAGAGATGGCTGCTTGTCCGTATCTGTTACATACAGTAATGGAGATATTAACATCATGCATATTAATGAGGTTGTATGACTATATATGGTCATTTCATATGTTAGTCACATCTTTTGTTATACACATTGCTTGCATAATACTATCTGTAACATTGCTTGAGATATTACATTTATGCATAATTAATGAGGTCACATGACCATATATGGTCCTCTGATTTGTTATTCACATCTCTTGTTCTGTAGCTTTCATATTGCATGTCCCTACCTGTAAGTGATTTGAGATATTACATGTATGCATATTTAATATATGTTCATCCTATAAGTTTGTCACATGTCTTGTCCAATGACATCAATAATGCACATGTTGCATGTCCCTATCTGTTAGAATGCTTGAGATATTGCATTTATGCATATTTAATGAGGTCACATGACCATATATGGTAATCTATTAAGTTAGCCATATCTCTTGTCCCATGGCTTCAATATTGCGCTGGTTGCATGTTCCTATCTGTAATAGTGCTTGAGATATTACACATTTGTATATTTAATGAGGTCACATGACTAGAATATAAGAAAAAAAATGTTAAAAAACATTCTAAAATCTTCTTCTAAAAAAAACGGCTTATCGCCTGGACTTGATGTTTTGGAATTAAATACTATGTCATATGATCTTTCAAAGATATGCAGGGTTAGTTGATTAGTCGAACATTATGCAAATGAGATAGAAAACAAAATTTGTAAAAAAATCCAAAAAAAAAAAGTCAGGTGACCGCTTTTTGAATTTTTTTTTGATGAAATTTGTAGCTCTTGTCCCACTGCTACTACCAGAAAGGTACGCAATTCGGCATTGAAAATTTCACCTTTAGATGGCGGCCTGGTCATGTGACCTATAGGTCTGAACTTAGGATATGCACCAGATCTCATCCACCTTCACAACTGTGCAAAGTATGGAGCTGATCGGTCCAACAGCGCTGACATAAAGTGTGACGAAAAAAACGGCGGAATCATAATAATAAGCGGAACAATTACTCTAATAATCTTGTCTTTTAAGCAAAAGTATGTTTGTTGTTTCTCGTGAAAAACACTATAAAGATACGCAGGATAAATAATGATATGTTGAGACTCACTTTATAAAATGCTTGCTGTTTGTCTGGCAGTTTTCGGGCTTGTCTTAAAACTTTCTGAATGTCAGCCTGAAACAAACCATAATAAACTTTGCTGGCAGTTTTATTACAAAGAAATACATGGACATTATGGTAGGCTCTGCACAACAGGTGAAAGAATGGTGGCCTTGTTTTTATAAATTGAGACATGGCAATGTTTGAAGTGGTAGAAAGATGAACAACGTATTTGATACAAGATTTTGGCAGTATACATCGTTATCCCTGATCATCACAATATACTGTTTCATGAACAATGAACACGATATTTCACTAGAATTACATCAGATCCATTAAGATAACTGTGTTGCATTTTTTAAAAACATTTTGTAACAGTGGCAGTTCACAGGGTGAGGCTTTTCAGGCTAGCAATTAATGTCCAAATTTATAGGGTAGATTGAGGAAACCTTTGATGGAAGTTCATTGCAAAATTGTCCCCCTTTTTTTAGGATGGCCTCTCTGTGATTCTGGGACAGTCAAAATGGCTGTGTTTGGTTTGTGGGATTTTTGGAAGCTGTGGTGAGACATAATGAAGATACCAGGGAGCACAACTTTCATCCACCTCCAGGACTGTGACATAATCAAGCTTTACAATAGCGCTTTAAAATAAAAATGAATCCAACAATGATATGCTAGGAGTTTACCATTAAAAAGTGGGGGGGCTACAACTATTGTGGGGGTGCAATTATAATTGCCTTCATATAGTGATATAGTGTTTGGAGCTTCCCCCCCCACCCCCTCCCAGTTTATAATGGTCAACCCTCAATTGGGAATATATGCTTTGCAATTAACATTCAGAGATGCTGCAAAAAACTAGTATCAGATTTTTGTGTCGGATTTGAAATGGATACATCTCATGGCTAACAATGTTTAATTCATAGTGCTTGCAGTAATTCCTAGGTTTAAGATTATAAATTGAGGAGCTGGTATTACGCAGACTTTCTTTAATGTTGATTATATTTGAAAGCATCCTCATGCAAAAGAACACAGTGAGCGCTATATTAAGATAACCACACCACCACTGACCAATCACAGGCGAGCAAAAATGCATTCTTGGAAATATGTCACACAAAGCCTTAAAAAATATAGGCGTGGCCTCTAATAAAGCCAAGCAGATATCTTGATATGTGGGAACGTTTCAACTTGCGTTTTAGTCTTTAAAATTAATAATTTGCATAATTGATACTTCAATACCAGAAAGCTACATGGCTTAAAGAGTTGAGCAAAATTTAAAATCATTTATTCATACTTTTATTAGCTCCGCTGTTGACTCAGTCGAGCTTAGCTTATCATATGAGTGATTGTCAGTCATCGTCCGTCGTCGATTTCTTGTTAAAAAACGCAAGTCCAATTGCTTTGATATTACATATATAGGTACTACATGTTAACCTCTCTCAGATTTGTTCAGTTTGTGATGATATCTTCAATTCTCTAATTTTGGTGAATATTTTTGTCATTTTTGGTAACAAGCAGCCAGTCGGCTGAGATAGCTCTGCTGTTAGCAATGCACATTTCAATAAAAGAACAGAAGATATCATTAGAAAATGAACAATATGTATAGTATTAAAGTAATGGGACTTGCTGTTTTCACCAAAAATTACAAAAACAATCATCAAAATTAGAGAATTGAAGATATCACCACGGAGTAACAAATCTGAAAGAGGTCCACATGTAGTACCTATATATGTAATATAAAAACAATCAGACTTGCGGTTTTCAATAAGAAGTCGAAAATATCACTTTTTACCAAAAATGACAAAAATATTAAGCAAAATTAGAGAATTGAAGATATCATCATGAAATAAACAAATCTGTAAGTGGTCCACATGTAGTACCTATTTATGTAATATCAAAGCAATTGGACTTACTGTTTTTAACAAGAAGTGGAAAATATCACTTTTTACCAAAAATGACAAAAATATTCACCAAAATTACAGAATTGAAGATAAGATAATGAAATGAACAAATCTGAGAGAGGTCTACCCAAGGTACATATACACCAAGTATCAAAGCATTCAGGCTTGTAGTTTTCAAGAAGAAGTCGAAAAAGTAAAACATTGACACGGACGTCCGTCGTCCGTGTCAATGTTTTACTTTTTTACTCAATGTTTTACTTTTTTACTTACTTTCTGTTCTTTAATTGAAATGTCATTGTGCATTGTTAATAGCGGAACTATCTCAGTCGAGAAACTGCTTGTTATTTACTAGTATGAGTTAATCCTATCAGAATACCAAAACAATATGTGAATGAAATCTAGAGAGTTCTTGGGAGATCTCAGAAAAATTATAGTTCATATCATCAAAATCAACTGATCTAATAAATATGAAGTATTCATCCACATAAAAATGCTCACTTGTGAATTTGTAAAACATAATATTGAATCCATTGAAGGATGCCCTCAAAATCTAATAATCAAGTAAAAAGAAATAACATCCCATAATTCCAACATGATACTGTAGATGTTTATCCAGTTACATGGTCATACCAACTGGTCAATAATGTAGATATCTTGTAGAATTATTTATAAGATATTCATGAACAAAACACTGCATATTTTGTGATTTTCTTGATATATTATTATTATACATCTTTTCCTGTTTCTATAGTTACAATTTAAAGATGACAGTCTGAAATTCCATCAAAGTGAATTTTACAAGATTTATGCATTTTGGAATTGATAACCATTTCCTGAACTACTGGTAAACTTTGTTGAATTATTAGAAACAATACTACATTTGTATATGAAGACTTAGTACAAAAATACAATCTAGGAAAACATTAAAGGGCGATGGTAGTCGCGCAGCTCATGTTCCAATTTCATGTAACAGGATGTGGCGCAATGACCACCACCCTTTAAGATTGCCTGTTGCATCAATTCTCTCACCTGCAATCCACTAGGTTTAATCCAAACAACAGTGTTCTGTGCGTAACTTCTCTTCTCTAGAGGTCTGACAGGAAATGGGGTCTTTGAGTCGTCTTCACCATAGGGATGTACTTCATAGTCTGAAATGAAACGATACATCATTTTCAAAAATCTACATCATAACATGCCAGTGGTTAGATTCGTACATTGCCACTATCAGATGACACCTCAACTTCATTAATGAAATATAATGCAGCATTTCTGGTGTTGCGAGGTTTGCTTACATCACACAATATATTAAACAAGCAGCCTCTCGGTTGAGACAGCTTCGCTGTTAGCAATGCACATTTCAATTAAAGAATTGATGAAATCAT